CTGAGATAAGCAGAGAAATCCAACATCCAAAGTAACATGTTAAGAAATGCCCACCCATGAGCTATTACTGGCAGCTGCTCCTGTGTGTGCTGGTGCAGCATTCAGGAAACGGTGCCCCAGTGACACGGTCACATGCGATGCTTACTGTTCTAAATGCAACACTGCCCAATTTTCTGAATTTTCAGTGTTTGAAATACCCCCGTCTGTGTCATTTTCCAATCAGAAACTGAGGTTTTATTGTCTTTTCTATATGTAAAATGAAACAACACAGGCACTTTGTGAAAATGAATTAAATCTTTGTATGCCAAAGTTTAAGATATCCTGGCTACTAAGCAACTTATAAAATGCTATTTTAAATTGTTCCATGATTTCCATCCTACCAGTATTATGAGAAACTGTCCTTTAAAATACTAGGTCTTCTAGCTAACAAAATTTCACATCTATGAAAAAGCAACTTGACTATCTCACTCATTTAATTTTACTGGTGTAATATTTACATCATGAGTCAAACTTACCTTTAATGACACAAAGGCAGATAAATATTATCTTTAAAATACTTCCAGAACTAGAAATTTATGCTGAAAAATACTGCTTTCTCATTGCAGTATGAGAATTTGCAGGCCAGAATTCAGAGAAAAACAATCATTTTACCAAAGATAAATATTTATGTCACATATATAATAGGTATTCCTTGACCTATTCATCAACACCATAACCATCACATAGTAAACGGCCCTATACATTTAGAATGAATTCTCCTGAATCAGAAATGGGAATACTGAATTTTACAGTTCACCTACCTGAACCTCACATGTCCTCTGTTTAACAGTATCTTCTTTCTCCTTAAGGTCCTGTTCCACGTTATTCTTTTCCCTAGAAGACCAGCAAACAATGCAAGAATATTTGAGAACATCAGCTACAGCCGGTATGGTTATCCATCCCCCCAATCCTGAATCGCTTTTTAAGTACATAGTGAAACATTCAATTTTTAAATGAAGGGCAGATTATTCTACCCTCTTTTAATTATTTATGGCACAGAAATGAACATAAGCTGTTTGTTTAAAAAAATTGCTTTCTCACTAAAATGTGGTAAAAAGAGAATAGATTAAAAAAGGAAGAGGAGAAAAATAATCAATGAAACACTCAGGTTTCACTGATTTCACTGTTGCTATGGAAATGCTGTCCAATGAAAATTGCTGGTGAAGAAAAGGAGGGGTTGCATCAGCTCTGTACGCTTAACCCTTAAGAACCACTGCTAAATCAAATGAAAATGGCTAATACAACAGTCAACAATATTAAGGAAAAGGATATTTACTGAAGTGTTAATTTCCTCTTAAATCATGATGTGTACCAATTTTAGAATGAAACATAGAGAAAATGGAAAGGATTGCCAATACACAGGCTATTTGCTCTATCCAATACATCTGCTAAGAAAAAGCTATTTTAGGATCACAGATCAATCCCAATTGATCAAATATATAAAACAATGTATTTTAAGTGAAAAAAGAATCACATTAGCATTTGTCTCTTTCTACTCTTCAGATCAAACATGCTAGAATCCATTTTTACTTAGAAACATCATTACCTAAATTCTTACATGCTTCCATCAGAGCTGGATTCCTAGTGAATGAACCCGAAGCAATCTTTGATTCGGAATTGGAAAATAAAGCTATTTCTTTTTATGTTGTAACTGCCGTTTGTCCTAAAATCACACACACACATACACACACACACGCACAGCTCCCTTCACTTTTTCTTTTCTACAAAACGCGAGAGAAAGCCATAGAATTCTGCAGCAGTACATTTTTGGAGTGGGGGGAAGGTAAAACAAGGCAACCTGAAGAAGGGAGAGCATTCAAGAAGTCCTTCCAGGCTAGTACTGCAGTTTCTCCTTAGAGCTTCGTGACTATATTTCCGTTTCATCCCAGACATAACCCAAACATAAGCTCAGGCACCATTAAACTGTAGCATAAAGGAAAGTGAGAAAATGACACCAACGGAGGTACTTAAGGGAAAGCTGCATGCTATGTTTATATTTCTCACCTTTTTAAGGTAAGATTTTAAATGCAGACAAAACTCAACTGTTTTAGATATGTAGGCTTAATGTTCTTAAGAACTGTATGGGAGAAAAGAACACAAGAATAAAGCTATTTGTATACTGTTACTTTTACATACTTGAGATGGCCAACGAGCTCACTAACCGTTTGTCAGATGGGTCGCAATGTGGGTCACGATGTCGCGGAGATTTTAAACAGTCCCTTACCATACGAATCATTGTTTCAGCCCGTTCCTCCCATACCTCAATCTTTTTATTATGCAAAGATCGTGCCCCACTTCCAGTCCGTATAAAATTATGTAAAATTGAAAAACAGAAAAACATAGGAAGAAAAATCTAAATATATCCCGCAAATTCTATAAGCTCAATCTTGAAAATGTTTTCTTTCCTCCTTATGTGAGCAGAATAGTGTTTTCAGTCCTGCTGCAGCATGTCAGAGATAAGTCACATGAAGAGCTAGCCCCCTCCCCCATCCAAAATCCTCAGAAGCATTCCACACAAGGTCAATATCAATTCAGCTCCTGGTTTCCCACAGTAGATAATAACAAAAACAGAAAACACACGGTATCACAGATCAGCACTGAACACACGCATGCATGTCTCTGTATTGAATCCTTTCTGCTCCGCTGTTAGCTGCTTTACTGACTGTATCTGCTCAGATCAAGTGTCCATGCAGGGAAACAGGGCTGCAAGAAGGCAGGCAGCAAGCTGACTTAAAGTAGACCAAACAGAAGGATGGGAGAGCAAAGGAAGGAAGCTCTCTTGGTGAAAAAGAAAAACAGATTACAAAGGACTCTCAGCTCTAACAAGCAAACACAGTCTATATTTAGGTAAAATGGAGGACGCTTACAAAGTACAAATTTCTCTTCATAATTCTGGGTATGGGGAGCACTGGTGATGCCTCCAAACATATTCTGAAAACCATTCCCAACTAAATAAAATATGAAAATGTTTAGGCATTAATTTCTCTTAGTACTGAAATTAATTAAACTTTTTAATCTATTTTTATTTAGTAAAATTCTGGTCTCATGATCCCTTTTATCAAAACCAAATAGTAAAACATACACTACTAAACAGAAACCTTTAAAAAAATAATAAAATTGTCAGTTATATTACTTCCTATAAAAAAATCACAATTGAAACTGTCCTATAAATCAGATTGAAAATCAAAAAATTTTGTCATTAATTTAAGATTATAATTTCAAAGATACCAAACTGTTATTCTGTGGTATTCCATAGACTCTCAACCTCTACAGCTATCCTCCTCATTTTAGGCAAGAAAAAATATCTGAACACCTTTAGGTGCACTAAGGAAGCCTGGCCACATTTCTTACACTCTCCTTTCAAATTACCCCATATATTATTCTAAAGGTGATGGATGCATAACTAATGCAAAGCATTCTGTTTAACATTAGTAATTTTAAAGCTTAATTCTTTTTAGGATTCTGCAGCCACAATAAAAAATCATTATTTAGATAAGTTTCCTAAGAAGCCCACTAATAAAGGCGGGTAAGACAAACATACACTCCAAAAATAGATAGGTGACCATTTTGCCCAAAGCACTACGCATCTTGGATGCCAGGACAAGAAAAGCTATTGCCTTCACCTTAGTAACTTCCAGAAAAGGGTAAAGAAACGATCCTACACACCCTTTATCTTAGACTATCTCTCTGGCCCTATTTACTCCCAAGATGCTGGTACATCCTGAGGAATCCACAAATACCAAAGCCATAATAAAGGCCAGGGATAGCATTTCCTGGCTTATTCTGTGGAAGCTAGTATCTGAGGAGAGCCCAAGCCAGGCTTTCAAAAGCCTACAGTTGATAACTACATAAACCTATATGAAGCAGTCAAAAGGCTCAGGGACCTGAGTCTGTGCAATTCACTTCCACCTACCCAGGCTCTACTTATGGGGAAAAAGGAGTGAGCCTTTTTCTTAATGTTGATATTAATACTAACATTGTCAGAGAAACAGGATTAAATCACCTTTGAAGTCCTTCCTAGTTACACAGTTTTATGTCATTTTTTTCTGAGCATAAACATCTATTATTTTCCAATCAGAAAACAAAAAAAACTAGAAACCAGTTGAAAACTAGAAAGTTGTGAAACCCATGAAGGTTATATTTTTCAATCCTAAAACTGACTCATAAAAATCCTTTTGGGCACATTTAACCCTAAAGATGCTATTATTAAGTAGCTTAACTGCCAATAAATCTCTCTAACAAGCAAACACAGAAAAGCATGCTATTCTCATTGTGTAGTCTTCAGTAAGGCATCTGGGTCTTAGGAAAGCAAGAAAAATGGGACTAAAAACTGGACACCTGGATTCTAATCTGGCTCCGCCCTGTAATAGCTTTTCTGACTCTGATTTAGTCACATAACCTTTCAGGGCCGCAGTCTTATTTTTCATTAGGCAGATGCTATACTATCTCTACCATCTTAAGATTTGCAAGGCAAAACGTACAAGATGATATGTAATTAGGAAAAAAGTAGGCTTTGAGCCTATGCTTTGGTTGCTTTTTACTTACAATAGTAACATTACTTATAATTTTAAATAACATTGATGGAGTAATTTTTGAATGTGTTACAAGGAATTATGAGTTACAAAAAAGTTTAGAAAACTTTGTTCTCATATACAGTCATAGAATACATATTTACTGAAATCTCCGCCCAAAAATCTTGTCTAAATATTCAAAATAATCCAATGACTCTCTACATTTAGAAACTCATTATGTGGTTTCCAAAGCATAAGACTTGGACTAAAATAGTCCAGAATTCAAATGCTAGCTCCATCACAGGTCATCTTAGTTAAATCCCTGTAGTAATAGCTATTTGTTCTGGCTCACCCTCCCTTCTTCTGGGACCCAGCAATCCTTTTAGGAAACTGATCCTCTTTTCCCCTCAACTATCATTTTTCTATCCATATAGTTCAAATAAAAGGTGCCACCTTTTTACAGACTCAAACCCTCTGAGCAATGACTAGCCAGGGACTGGCTCCTGACTGAAGCTTAACCAGCCACAGTACCCCCACCTCACAATCACAGGAATGAATTCAAGAACGGGTCCATGACCAAAGCCAGGGCAGTCGGAATCTTTATCTAGGATGCCTTTATTTGGAGCTAATAGAAAACCCACTACGATCACGACCATATCTCTTCTACCAGCACCACCACCATTACAGAAACTAACATTTATTAAGTATTTACTACATGATAGGCATCATGTGATAAGTACTTTACATGGATTATCTCATTGATTCCTAAGAAAAATCATTCCTGTGGAATAATGAAGATGAGCAAAAGTGAGTCCAGGTGCTGCTGGAACTTGCTGTCCCTGCTTAAACAACTGTGACATTTTCCCACAGATAAGCTGAGGTGAAAGACAAGGAGACAGAATCTTGCTAGGGCTGAGGCCCTGGTTCCTATCACCCCCATGATGGTTAATTGTACATATTGACATGGCTAAGCTATGGTACCCAGATATTTGGTCAAACACCGGTCTGGATGTTGCTGTAAAGATATTTTTTAGATTAAATTAGCATTTACATCAGTAGACTTTCAGCAATTACCCTCCATAGTACGGGTGGGCCTCAGCCAATCAGTTTAAGAACTTTAGAGAAAACAACTGAGGTCCCCTAAAGAAGAGGAAATTCTACTTCCAGACTCTTCAGATTTCAGTTACAACAGCCTGGTCTCCGGCGTACTAGCCTGTTCTACAGGTTTCAGACTCGCCAGCTCCCACAATCATGTACGCCTATTCCTTAAAATAAATTGAAGATACTCTCTATTTTACATATCTTATGTGGGGATTATTGAGAGAAGTGAAAAAGAAAATACACAATGGAACCCAATTATGCTAATGCAACTTTAAGACTTATTTACCAGACTCAACAAATATTGAATCCTACTACATACCTATCACTGTGCTACACTTTAGGGGTACAAAAGACAATGAGACAGGTACCTGCCATTAAGAAACTCACAATTCAGTGTATGTGAGGAGTTGGGCAGAAGAATATAAAACGATAATTGCAATGCAGTGTAGCAGGTGTCACAATACGTAAGCACGAGGCATGTATTGTAGGAACACAGCAGGGTACATGCCTTTCCCTGGAGAGGGTCAGAGAAGGCTCCCTGGGTATCACTGAAGGCAGGATCATTAACTGCTTAATAGCCGTGCAGATATTAAGTGGTATGTTTATCAACAGAAATTACTCCAGCCTGGGACTGTTTTGTGAAGGAGGTGAGACTTCAGCTAAGGAAAGAATGAATGTTGGGTAGAAAAATGGCATTTCAAATAGAAGGGAGAGGTTATGCAAGAAAGCACAGATGATGTCAGCAAAATGGCAAACTAAAGAGGTAAACTAAAAAGAAAACTTCCCCAATTTGTTGAAATACACAAATCTACAATCCAAGAAGCTCAACAATCTCCAAGTAGGAAAACCCAAAGAGACCCACTCAGACACATTATAATCAAACTGTTGAAAGACAAAGACAGAATCTTGAAAGCAGTAAGAACGAAGAGACTTGTTACATACCAAGGACCCTCAGTAAGATTAACAGTGGATTTCTCAACAGAGAAACCTTGAAGGCCAGAAGACAGTGGGATGACAAATTTAAAGTGCTGAAAGGACAAAACAGAAAATACTTTGGCTGGCAAAACTGTCCTTCGAAAAAGAGGAAGGAATCAAGATATTCCCAGATAAACAAAAGTGAAGGACTTCATTACCATTATATGTGCTACAAGAAATGCTAAAAGGAGTCCTTCAGGTTGAAATGAAAGGATGCTTCTAGACGGTAACTCGAAGCCATAAGAAAATATAAAGATCTCCAGAGGTTTTAAATGTTCAGCCATCCACTTTATGTGAAAATGAATTAAATGGCCTCCTTATTACCAAACAAATGCACAATAAGTACAACCTAGAGCTTCAATGAGGCAATGAGTAATGCCATTCTTGAAGTAGTCATCATTGAGACCTGCTAGTATCAGTACCACAGATCTTTACTAGGCCATAAACAAATTAGGCTGGGTTAGATAAACAAAAGAGCTCCAGATTCAATAATATAAGCAATGCTCTCCCCAGAGCTAATAGTTTCTAATGGTACTTGAACTGAACTAAGCCGAAAACATAAATTATTTAAAAATTCAAACTATATGCTAACACTGCCTTAAGTATTTTTTAAAAATCAGCTCTCAAATATGATTAAGGTACAGATCTATACATTAATCACACAGATTCTGGCTACCTGAATACACAGTTCTAGTCTCTTTTTAACCAGGAAAGGTGTTCATTCAGCTACTCCAATGTTTGCTGAGCACCTACTGATTAAATGCTG